AAGGAAGGAAGGAAGGAAGGAAGGAAGGAAGGAAGGAAGGAAGGAAGGAAGGAAGGAAACTGTCGCACGCTTGTCAGGAGGCCAAGCAGTCTTGGAGGTGGGACCCAAACAGGTTGAAAGAAGTACATGCTCTGAAGAGTTTTCAGCTAACAAAACTTTATTTTTTTTTTCTGGTGCAGGACATCAACCAAACCACACCAACAACCAAGAACAATGGCAGACATGTTTCTTATGTAGAGGAGGAACTAAATCGAAGAAACTATTTTTAAAAGGATGTTCAGCTTCACAATAACAACAAAAAAAGGAACATTTGGTTTAAATGAACAGCTGATTAAGAAATACTTTGACCAATAAATACAGAAAACAAACATTTCAATTCAACCCAAACAAATACTCAAACTCAATATAGAAAACACCATACATCAGATCAACCTCCCGCCCTTCAATTATCCAATGGTGCAGTCCTGTACACACCTGCTTTGAGAGTGAAACAGCAGAGGTGAGTATTTCACAATATTTTAACTCTTTAATCCATGAATTTCCCTTTTATGAAGAGTTAAACAAAAACAAAATATTGTAAAGTGAAAGCAATTTACCTTTTTACAAAAATGAAAACAAGATGCGGCCAACCAAAGAACCACAACCCAAAAAAATCCACTTCACCCAAAACAACAAAAATAAAACAATGTAGAAAACCAGACGCTGTATTTAGCTGCTACTTTGGCCAATATACAGGTAACAATGGCTCATTGTTACAGGAACCATTAGAGCTCTAGTGCCCAATGTCTCAAGTTGAAAGCTTATATAATTTAATTCAGGTGTTAAAACTTCTCTAGATGTCCAAGATGCATGTACAAGGAAAATGTTGACAGAAGCACACGTTGGTAGGAACTACCCTTGATGTTTATTCTTTGTGAGTCTCTTGTGGGCAACAGCAGATGCAAGTCAGGGAAAGGTTTTACTTGGTAAATAAAGCCAGATAATGCTATTGTCAGGTGCCTCTGCACCATGTAGGGATCCAACACATAATTCAAAGGGGTTCAAAGTTTGGTGAATCTTACCATTTGTTCCAGGAGCTGCGCCCACACGAGGGTCCCTTTCAGTGCTCTCAAGTGATTATGTCAGAGTTAAGCTTTTCTGATTGCCTGATGCAGATCTTGTTTCTGCCACTTTGAACCAACTGTACCCATTTCAGAAACTTAAATTCTCCAAACCCAGCACACTGAACAAGCAAAATGTATCAAAAAGCACAGCAGCTGATGTATGAAAAGCATTGCAGGACGTCTTATGGGTCAAGATGGGCGTCCGCCACAAACTTTGCATAAAATCAAATGTACCCAAGATTCAAATTGCATCCGGTCTGAACAAACCATCACAGAAAAGGGTCTAGGGTTCAAATCCTGGCTGACATTTTCTATGGATTTTGTTTCAGACAGTCAAACATCAGACTTTTATTTATTGACTTCACTTACCTGCTGATTCAAATCAATTTGAATAGCCTCCTAAGGCATAGAAGCATCAAAAATAACATTGAACAATACTAAAAAGAGTGAAAATGTTACCCATTCTGTTCTTTAACTACATCACTTCCAACTAGCTTTATTATCATTTCAACAAGTTTAATAAACAGAAATGATACAATATAACAAATTGCATATAAATAACAGTTTGCATTTTTATGTGTCTGTATGTTGACTAGACCAAGCTGATAGAGGAAAAGCTGGAATATAACTAGACTAATGTGTTTCATAAGTGATCTGAATGTTATAATTAGTTTTATCCTCATATTGGCACAGGGTGTATATGTTATTTGTCCACTCATTAACAGATGTAAACATTTGGACCTCTGCATGTTCTTAAATTTAACACCTGGTCACAGACTAAGTAAGTAAGATTATGTCTTGACTAGGTATACCTAAAAATCATACTAGTCCAAACTTAACATTATTTTTTCAATACCCTAGGTTTTCAACATCAGCTACTGTTCAAATGCATTGTTCAATTTACATACTCTGAATCTTCAAGATACTTTCTGTATAAATGTCCCACAGGATGCATTAGTTGTGTAAATATTATGGGAAATCAGGCAAAAACGAGGGACAAAAAGCTTAGTTTATCAACTTCCTCGAAAAAGAAAATAATTTCAGGAGGAGAAAAAATGGATATAGTAAAATAGTGACCCTCTTTGAGCCTCACAGAAAAAACAAAATAACGAGGGGCAGTAAGGTCAGTTAAGTGCAGTTTATCTCTCTCCTCTTTATGAAGAAGAAAAGAAAGAAAAACTTTGATAAACTTCACAGATCTCCCTCCGAGAATCACCTCTCGCCGCCTCAGACAGCACAGCGTTTATCGCTTTTCTTTTCTTTAGACATAGATCTCATTATGTTTTTAATATGGGCATGATAACATTCTCTATCTGTTCTGGTTTGAGATTCTGCACAGACTGGTTTAATGGGGCTTTGCTTCATAGCTGCACTGGTGTTCTTTTTTATTTATTTTTTTCTAACTTTTCATAATCTGTCCAAGTCAAATGTGGAAATTGTTTTAATTTCTATATAGCACGTAGACAGAAGTTGGAAAAAATCTGCACAGATCTGCCCACCCTGCCTAGTCGGAGCTTCTCTATACGCAGTCAGTGTGACATGGAAAAAACTGGATCAGAGATTAAAAAGTCATACGCAGCCGGGGTGTTCTGACCTTTATAGTTCTCGCAGTCAAACACGTGCGTCTCAAATGTGAAACACAATACAAATACACATTGTGGATTAATCGATCTACCTTCAAGCATCACACAACAACCATCACCAAGTCTTCTATAATGCAGTTTTACTGGCTTTGGTTATTAACACGGACGCGACAGTGACTGCTGCTGCATTACGTCCACGCTTGCACGAAGCCAGCCAAACACCCCCTCACACATACTAGGTCTACAACGTAAGCCCGAGTGTTGTAAAAACACCAACATAAAACAATACAATATAGAATCAGACAGGCAGTTTTTCAAGAATGTCTACATGAAAGCTCAGCGGTAATAATGTAAACAGATGCAAAACCCCATCATGCACCGCAACATATTTTTGCAAAATATAAGAGGAACATTGTAGTTTGGTTTAAAGAAAGCATTTTAGTTTTATTCTAATTTAGTTTGTTGCAAGGATTTTAAAGTTTGAAGAAATAGAAAATTACACCATATGCCAACCGTCACAAGGATGTGCATGACAAGGAAGGGCTACATATACTGCATGCATCATTAAGGTAGCTAACATTGTATTACTTCTTGAGCTCCTTCAGTTATTTACTGTCACAGGTAAGTGCTTCGGCCGGACAGTAAAGGCGGATTTAGGCTGATTTATACTTCAAAACCAGTTCGTCTGCGTAGGTGTCGCAGTGAACAAAAATGCCGTCACCACCCCCTCTGCAGGCACGCCGCTGCACCTCTCCCAAATTGTAACTGACCACAGACATGATTAGACAGGAGGTCAGCCAGTTTTGTTTTAATGACCGAAATTGCGCAAAACAACTCGTGAAGTTGGACCAGCTAGAAGATCGAGGTGCGCAAGAACGCTGGGTGCCTTTTTCCACCTGGATCCCCGCTCTTTTTCACCCTTATGTCCCTCCGTTATTGGACTAAACTCACCCCCACTTCCTCTCCATATCTAGTCCCACGGCGTATAGCACAGACCACGGTTCAATATTGAGCATAAATCAAAAATGTCTGCGTCAAGCTCACTGCAACACACTGCTGCAGGAGTATAACCAGCCCTTAAGTGGTAGGGCTGGTATAATTGAAGGAGGGCCGGCCCTCAAACACTGAAATTAGGACCGTATCACAGATTACCAGTCCGAGCCTGCTTTGAAGCTTCTGTCTGAGCTCAGAATGTTATCTCCTCTTTCGTCTGTTTTTGGATGATTTGTCCCTCTGTTTAGGGCCCTCTGATCAAAACAAACATGGAGCAAGCTCTGGAGAAAGATGCGTGTCGACTCAGAAAAAATGAATCAACAATGCAGGGACTGGTGCTTAAAATTGGTTTTCTTCATAAAGGCCAGTGGGAGGGGCCGATCAGATGAAAGTCGGCGATAACCAAGCATGGCAGATTGACCGGTTCAAGGCTAAAGGATAGTAGAGAATGTGAGCACTTTTGACATCACTGGCATTGGTTTAAACACCTAAAGAAGGGATTGAAGGAAAGAACTGAGACTGAGTAAAACTGAAAAAAAAAGTGTGTGAGCCTAGTAGGTTTTTTCTATTTCAAATAAACAGTGATGTCAACATGCAGTAGCCTTTAGATGATCCTATAGATGCACCTCTGCTGTAAGGTACAGTCTCCATCTCTGTGATGTCTCACCTTCTGTCCTTGGAGCGGCTCCTGCGGCTGGATCTCCTGCTGCGGCTACTCCTCACCCGACTTCCAGAGGAGGAGGAAGAAGAGGAGGATGAGGATGAACGGCGACGTTGTTTTCTTTTCCTCCTGCTCCGACTGTCATCCTCGCTGTCAGAGGAACGCCGACCCATGCTGCTTATCGGTCAGCTGGAGAAAAAAAAACGCAGACAGAAGCAGGGCTGAGATGCGGGGATTCAACAGAACAGCCGTTACACACCATTGATTCAGCCACTTTTCTCCTATTAGTCATTTTATTCATTAAATATCGCATTAGGATAGAGAGCCTGTTAGTCAAACATGTCAACAAGAAGGCTGTAATGACACTGTAGTAACACAATCCAATAAATCCTGTAAGATTAATAGATATCTTTCATTTGTATTGAGGCTAAAGGCATGCTAACTGTGCTAGCCAAACTAGCCTACAGCTAAAAACATCCGCGTTTTAAGTGAAGTGTTTAACCTTCTTAGCGGTTTGGCTGCATGTCGTTTCATTCGGTTAAAAAAATTTAATTCTATGTCTTAGAAGAAAGACAGACAAACCGAAACATGGAAGTCCCGCTCCTCTCTTTAACAACATTGAATTCCCCACATGCAGTGATAACCAGGCTTTACCAAACGATGAAGGAAACATCGATAGAATCCAGGCAGAGGAGATGAGCACAGCACAACCGATTCAAGCCTTTTCTGAGTCTCATTCTTTGTGTTAAAAATATATAGCATGTCATTCTTACTACAGTAGCACCAATATTTTTTGTCTCCTCTTAAAATATAGACATTAATAGCTTTTAAATTTTAAATCAGAAGCTGCCTTAATGAACTTTAATTCAGTTTTTTTCTTTAAACACATTTGAATTACTTAGACTGAACCAGTCCAAGGTTGCTTAGCGTCCTTAATATAATATGGTTACTATTTTTTTTACATTTCAAAACATATTTTACCTTTATTTAAACATTTGTGGTGTATTTCTAATTTAACCATTTCATAATTTACGAATTAAAAATTTTCCTGATGATTCCATCATTTGGGATAGCAACATCGACCACTATGGCTGTCCTATGCTGCTTATTATTGATCACAATATCCCGTTGGTGGGTCACAACCATGCTGTCTGTTTGGATCTGGAATTCCCACAGGATCTTATAGCTCTGTCAGTTTCCACTACCTTTGGAGGTTGCTCATAGTTTGACCTGGTGGTCCCCAGTTTGTATACTGCTCAGATGTTTCTATACCAGGCCCTTGGTTATGATGTTCCATATATCCCTTTCCTGCCTTCATCTTACACCATGTTGTGAGATGGTGGATTGTTTCTGGGGCCTCTTTGCATAGCCTGCACCTGGGATCTTGCCTGGTATGGTAGACCTCTTTTTCTCAGGTTCTCCAGGCCTGCTCCTCTCCAGCCATTGGAAGCCACTTCATCTATCTGTTGGTGATACATCCCATGTAGGGATTTTCTTCCTCACATGATGGTTCCTCCAGTTCCTTCATTTTCAGCTTCCTCTGTCTAAGACATTAACTAAGTGCTTCATCCATCGGGGCCATCTTCCTAATCAATGTTTCCTAATGCCTGATGTTATATCTTCAGTGGTGGCTCTGATGCTCTCTAGGTATCTGCCTCCTTTAATGCCCTTAGTGTATAGTCTCTAGATATGGGATTTGGCGTGGAATCCACCATGGACGGTGAATAGCTTTCATGTTTTAACATCAATGGCCTGAATTTCCTGCTTAGCTCAACTTATGATCCCAGCAGGGTATCTGATTACTGACAAGGCATAGCTGTTGATTGCCTGGAACTTGTTCTTACCATTGAGCTTACTTCTTACTCAAAACTGGTTTATTACTTTTATACAAATTACATACACATTTATAATGAATTGACTGATTAAAGGATGGAAAATCTCCGACAGAATGGATCTTTATCTTTTTTTTTAATGATAACAATAAAAAGCTCAACTACTTCCGGGAAGCCAGTCATTTTTCTTGATGGTGGAATGGTTTTATTTAGTTTGTTCTTCCACTTCTCCAGTTTAGGCGATTGTAGAATTAACTTTTTTCTAAAATGTATGCATAAAGCCAGAATGCCCAATAAAACATAAAAAAAGTCATCCCAGTGAAACAGATAGAATCTTTTAGCCCTTTTGTAAATATGAATTTTGAAACACATGCTTCATCACTGGCTTTGGTTTGCACAAAAACTACTAATGTAACAGTACAAAAAGAAGTCATGTTAAATTAAACTTTTTTGCAAATTTTAGTTCTCTCTGGGGGCTCCTGTTATTTTGCAAGCTGTATATACATCTGTTTAGTTCCCTTTTGCTTGTAACTGGATTGCATGTAACCATTTTTTTTCTTCACTCTGCTTGTAAATTACTTTTGATTTGATTCACTTCTGTGTAAAATACAATATATTTTACTCAGTGGAAGCCACATTTAATCGTTTAAATAAGCAGCCATTGTAATAATTTTATTTTCTAAAGTAGATAAAAAGGAAGCCAACTTCTAAT